CGAAAAAAAAAAAAAATTTTTTTTAATATGAAAAAAAAAACAAAAAATAATTATTAATCATATTATTATTATTATTATTATTTGTCAAGAATGTTGTATTGAATCTTTTTTTTTTAATTATAATTTAATTATAAATTATATTTGAAAAAAAAAAGAAGAAAAAAACATCATGCCTGGTGGTAGGAAAGGACTTGTAGCTCCTCAAAATACATTTTTAGAAAATATTATACGAAGATCAAGTTCTCAGCGTAAGTAAATTCCTGCTAAGGACAATCTTAACATAAAAAAAAAAAAAAATTTTTTTTCAAATTTATTTTAACGATTTATGAATGGATTCGGTTAGAGTTATACCTTTTTCTGATATTGTTTTTTTTTTTTTTTTTTTTAAATTTGAAAAAAATTTTTATTTATTTTTTAATTAAGAGATACTACAATTTCAGCGGATAGCAGTTTCCTTCTAGCCAATGCCCAAATAGTAGATTTTCCAATTGTTTACTGCAACGAATCATTTTGTAAAATTTCCGGATATAACAGAGCTGAGGTGAGTCATTACATTATTCATTTCATATATCATGTCATAACGATTAAATTTTCTATAATTTATTGACAGGTTATGCAGAAATCCTGTAGGTGCACTTTCATGTATGGAGAGCTGACGGATAAGGAAACAATTTCAAGAATAGACGAATGTTTGGAAAGTCAACTTCACGATCAATTTGAAATATTGCTTTATAAAAAAAACAGTAAGTTTGATAAAACAAATTTATTAATTTTTACTTTGTTCATTCTGGCTCAAAACTTACCATACCATGAATCATTATCAATTTTTCTCTCTCTCTCTCTCTTCCCCCCTCCCTCCCCCCCCCAGGTTGCATTTACTTAATTAAACATTCTTCTATTCATATTTTATTAACATTTATTTTAAATTTTTGCATGTACCAATAAATTCTATTTATTTAAAATAATACTACTACTACTACTACTCTAAAAAAAATTTAAATAAAATAACAAATTATTATTATTATTATTATTATTATTAATTTGATTGCAAATAATTAAAAATTTATGATTTTTGTTAAATATATATGTAATTAATATTTAATTAATCGTCGAATCAGAAAAATAAATGAAGGAGGAAAGATGAGTTAAAATCGTTTTGTTTAATTAAAAAAAAAAAAACTCTAATGACACGTCATAAATATTTTCATGATTATATTTATTTAATGCTGCATTGCAGGTACACCGAAAGGTACGTTTTTTTTTTTTAAACAGTTTTTTTAAAAATGAATTTCGTTTGTACACAAAAAAAACTGTTAAAAGGTTATCACTAATTAATATTTTCCTAAAGCACAATAAAAAAATTTCTATTTTTCTTTTCTCTTTTTTTTTTTTTTTTTTTTTTTTGGAAACTTTTGATCATTTTAAAAAAAGAAAATTTTATTATTAATCACATTTTTTTACCTTTTCTTATTGTTTTTCTCTTTAAAAAAAAAAAAAAAAAATACTAAAAATTTATGCTTGATACTTGTACATACATATATTTATATAAAATATTAAGTTTGAATTTATATCTTCTTTCTTTTTTTTATTCAGTAGATAATTAAAAAAAAATTATATTATCGTGTATATATATATTAATATCTAAATTTGAAAAGTAATTAGCACAAAATTTTAATTTTTTTTTTTTTATTATTCGCATGCTTGTTTTTTCCATTTTTATTATTTTTTAAAAAATTTGTTATGAATCGTTATCGATTTGAAAAAATAAATTATTTTAGTTTAATAATTTCTTATAAAAATCGGCCATTAGGGCTTTTTTTTCAACGGTTTTTATTATGGAAATTTGAAGGATATTGAATAATTAAAAATAGTCATCAATACGTATAATTAAAAAAAAAGAAAAAATAATTTTTTTATATACACGTGGTGGTGTCTTAGTAATTAAATGATGTTTTTATTTGCAAAAAGTTTAAAACAAAAAAAAAAAAATTGATTACATCACGGTTTTTTCCCATAACTGTCCATATTATTATTATTGTTATTAATAAATAAAATTCATTGGGAAATAAATATAAATAAATTTGCATTTTCATCTTTTTTGTTTTTTTTTTTAATTAAATATTTATATATAAATATATTCATGAAAATTTCATCTACTATTATTATTATTATTATTATTTAACGGTTTATTTTTAAGTAAGTGCAGCATATAAATAAATTTTTCATTTGAAAATAAATAAAATTAATTTTTTTTTTTTTTTTTTTTGTTTTTTTACAGGGTGTTTTTTAAATTGTGATTTTATTTGACTTTTTTTTTTTCAATTTCGTTTTATTTTTTTTTTTTTAGAATTATTATTAATTTGATTTATGTAATTTAAATTTAATTTATAGAAACACCATTATGGCTTTTACTTCAAATAGCACCAATAAAAAACGAAAGAGATTTGGTTGTTTTGTTTTTATTAACGTTCAGAGATATAACAGCATTAAAACAACCAATAGAAACAGAAGATACAAAAGGAGGTAATCATTTTTTTTTAAAATTATCATTATTAAATATTTATAAGATGAAAAATAAAAAAATTTCAATTTTTTTTTAGGTTTAAGCAAATTTGCCAAACTTGCTCGTTCGGTTACAAGAAGCAGATCGGTATTAGTTTCACAATTTTCTTCTCATCTTCCCAATTTAAAAGATACAAACAAACAATCTCATTTGGCTCACGTAAGTTAAACATATATTTTAAATGAGTTTACACTAAATAATGTGAAAAACTTGTAAATTTTTACATAACATTAAATTTTTTTTAATTTATTTGTTGACGGTGTTAGCAGATGATGAGTCTAAATGCAGATGTTATGCCACAATATCGTCAAGAAGCACCAAAAACTCCTCCACATATTCTTCTTCATTATTGTGCGTTTAAAGCTATTTGGGACTGGATTATATTGTGCCTCACTTTTTACACGGCTATTATGGTACCTTATAATGTCGCTTTCAAGAATAAAACTTCTGAAGATGTTTCACTTTTAGTCATTGATTCCATTGTCGATGTTATATTTTTTATCGATATAGTTTTAAATTTTCACACGACATTTGTAGGCCCCGGTGGCGAAGTCGTTTCCGATCCAAAAGTTATTAGAACTAATTATTTTAAAAGTTGGTTTATAATTGATCTCCTCAGTTGTTTACCTTATGATGTTTTTAATGCTTTCGATCATGACGAAGACGTAAGTAGGACAAAAAAAAAAAAAAATTTTTTTTTGTTTTTATTTAACGTGTGTGTTAACAATTTTTAATTATATTTATAGGGAATCGGATCTCTATTTAGTGCTCTCAAAGTGGTCAGGCTTCTTAGATTGGGTCGAGTCGTTAGAAAATTAGACAGATACCTTGAATACGGAGCAGCCATGTTAATTTTACTTTTATGCTTTTATATGCTAGTTGCTCATTGGTTGGCTTGCATTTGGTTAATATTTTTTAAAATTTTTTAAATGAAATTGTTTAGTCGTGAAAATATTTATTTATATTTGATTTTTACTAATAGGTATTCAATAGGAAAATCTGATACCGATAACGGTGTTCAATACACGTGGTTGTGGAAATTGGCAAACGTTACACAAACACCCTACACATATATTTGGTCGAACAAATCAGGGACCCCCGAATTGATCGATGGTCCCAGTAAGAAAACGACATACGTGACTGCTCTTTATTTTACTATGACTTGCATGACGAGCGTCGGATTTGGAAATGTTGCTGCCGAAACAGACAACGAAAAAATCTTTACAATTTGCATGATGATAATTGCCGGTAAATTCAATTACAAAAAAAAAAAAAAACTAAAACTAAACTTTATTATTAAACTTTAAATGAATATTTTTTATTTACAGCCCTTTTATATGCCACCATTTTTGGTCATGTGACGACCATAATTCAACAAATGACTTCGGCTACGGCTAAATATCACGATATGCTAAACAACGTACGAGAATTTATGAAATTGAACGAAGTACCCAAAGCTTTATCTGAAAGAGTTATGGATTATGTAGTTTCTACGTGGGCCATGACCAAAGGCTTGGACACCGACAAAGTAAATTTTTTACCTTTAAATTTTTAAAATCGCTTTAAGGTAAATATAATATTCGCCATTTTTTCAGGTTTTAAATTACTGTCCGAAAGACATGAAGGCCGACATATGCGTACATTTAAACAGAAAAGTATTTAATGAACATCCCGCGTTTAGGCTCGCCTCTGATGGTTGCCTACGCGCGTTAGCAATGCATTTTTATATGAGTCATTCGGCTCCTGGTGATCTCTTATACCATACGGGGGAAAGTATTGACAGTTTATGCTTTATTGTAACCGGAAGTCTAGAAGTCATTCAAGATGATGAAGTTGTCGCCATTCTCGGTGAGTAAAATTGATTTAAAATTTTTTTGAAATTATTTTTTAAAAATAAAAAAAATTTTTTTCCTTGTCCAGGTAAAGGAGATGTTTTTGGTGATTCTTTTTGGAAAGATAATGCTATCGGACAATCAGCTGCCAACGTTCGGGCTCTTACGTATTGTGATCTACATTTAATAAAAAGGGATAAACTATTGGAAGTATTAGATTTTTATCAAGCGTTCGCCAATTCATTTGCTAGAAATTTAATTTTAACTTACAATTTAAGGCACAGGGTAAATTAAACATTTTTTTTTTTTTTATGTTTGAACGATATTTGTCTTCGTTATCCAAATGAGTGCAGTTACTTATATTAGAATTGTGTTAAAGAAAAATTTTTTTTTTTTTTTTTTCAGCTGATTTTTAGAAAAGTAGCTGACGTAAGAAGAGAAAAAGAATTAGCAGAAAGACGGAAAAACGAACCACAATTGGATCAAAATCAGGATCATTTAGTTCGTAAAATATTTTCTAAATTTCGTCGGGACAGGTCACAAAGTCAAGCGACACCCGTACAAAATGGACTTGCACAGACCAGTAACGATTTGGAAAAAGGAAGCGAAAAAAGCGACAGCGAAAAAAATTATTCACCCGAAGGTGAAGTTAAAAAACTCACGTCGTCTGCTACGACAGTTATTTTTTTATTTATTTAAAAATTAATTTCCAGTAGGTAATTGTAAAGTGATTCGGGTTTTGTCATCCAATAAATTGACTTCTGTCATCGAAAAAGATGATTCTAGCGTTGGTTCTGGAAGTTCGGGATCTACACTCGCTCCCATATCTTATGTAAAAACTCGTCCGACCAACGTAGGAAACAGTAAATGGGGCCGATTGTTGGGTGGGAAAAGTCTGGATTTGGGTACTGAAGTTAATACTTCAAATAGATCGACTTTAATGAGAGCCGTGTCAATCGGTAATTTACTCATTCTTATATTTAACAGAAATTAAAACGAGTATAAATAGTTTTATCATCAGTCAAAAAACGAATTTGATTTTATTTTTAGGAAACGGTAAAGAAAGTAGTAATAATTTATCAACGAACTCAGTTTGTGGTAACGGAAATGTTTCGTCTGGAAGCGGTAATAAAGTATTTCCCAGACTTCAAAAAGTTGCATCCGTGGGTAGTACTGGAGGAAGTGCCGTCATTATGCGTCAAGACACCATCGAGGAACTGGTAGAAGTAGAAGATAATAAAGTATTAACATTACGACCTGGATCTGTTGTTTCCTTAGCACCCAAAATTGTAAAATCTGATGTGAGATCAACGCCCGACATAAAAAGAGTCAAATCGTTCGATAACGGATCAATAACAAGCACCGAAAAAGAAAATGTATGCGTTGAAAATGATCAGCCACCAACAGCAAGCACAACAACATCATCAACAACAGCAACAACAACGAATATATCAGCTCTTCCGTCTCAAATTGTATTCCCAAATGCAGAATACAAAGAAATAATGTCCAATATAATGAACTTTAAAGTAGATGTGAAATTGGAAGTGCAAAGACTTAATCAAAAAATAGGACGTTTAGAAGATTTAATAAGTGATTTGGTATTAAAATTAAGTGATGAAAACACCGTAAGAGAAATAAAAGAACGTAAAACCGAATCAGACGGTAACGAAGTTTATAATAGCAATGGAGAACAACAGCAGAAAACATTTGGCGGGGTATTGTTAAAACCTTCGTGTATGGGCGAAACAAGTTCTATGTCGGCTGGAAAATCAGACAGGTGATTTATTCTCTCCAGCGAACTCCATGGTTATTAAACTACTTATGGTTTAATTTAAAATTTAATTTTCCAGAGCCTCGGTAACAAGATGTTCAGAGTCTACCGTTCCGACATCTTTAATTTTAAAGAAAAAAAAATGTAAACTGAGACTCAAATCTACAGCTCCAACAGTACCGATGTTATCACCCACGACTCCTGATAATCCAACAACATCATCACCGGAAGGAAATAGATCGGATGCGGAAGATGTAAATAAACATTTAAGACAATCTTCGAAAGATTTTTTATAATTTTATTAATTAGGTTAATTTCAATACAAATATATATAATTCACTAATTTCAAATTGGTTTTATATCAATCGGGTAGAAAAAAAATTCATTTGAATTGGAAAGTAAATAATAATAATAATGAGTCTGAATATAAAAAAAAAATAAAATTTTATTAATGTGTTATAAATTTACATGCACACACACACACATACAATGTCACGTGATAAATTTTTATTTTTTCTCACTGAAATTTACAATAAAATTGTTTGAAATGAGGTTTAAAAAAATTTTTTTTTGTATTACTTATACATATTTTTTATTGTGCTTTAAATAAAAAAAAAAAGCACAACAGAAACGATTATTATTATTATTATTATTATTAATAACGATGAATAATTATGTACATAAAAAATTATATATATATATAAGTTAAGTTATAAAATAAAAATTATATTTTTTAATCTCGTGTAAATATAATAATAATAATAATAATAATAATAGTAAAAACAACCGTGAAATTTAAAAAAAAGAAAAATTGCAGTCAGACTGAATATTTAAACAAATAAAAACATCTCGCTTAACCAGGTCAAATTAAATGATCAATTATTATTATTATTATTATTATTATTATTATTATTAATTTTTGTATTTAAATCATCATCATCATCATCATCGTGTTTATTAATTGTTTTTTTTTTTTTCGTTTGTTTGTATATAAAAACGCATTCGAAACAAAGTTTATCATATTATTATTATTTATAATTATTAATTGCAATATAAAAAAAAAAAAATTTTTTTGAGTGATTTGCTTGATGACGTAAATGCGTTTTGTGAGTAATAATAATAATAATAATAATATTTTATTAGCAAAACATGTAAAGCAATTTTATAAATGCAAAAAAAAAAAAAAAGTTTCAAGCAATAATACAAACTGTGATCGATTTATTTATTATTATTATTATTATTATTATTTGTTTTTGTTATTTTATTAAGAATGTGCGTGTGAGTAGTATGCATGTGCGAGTGTTTTTCTTTAAATTTAATAAAGAAAATGTTATTATTAAATTAAATTCAATTCAATTAACAACAACAACAACAACGCCTTTGAAAATTTTTGTATTCTCTAAAAAAAATTTATTTAAAAAAACTTATGTAAGGCCTTAATAATTATATATATATAAATTGTAAATTTAATATTTAAATTTGATTCTAGCCCAAAAATCATATTTTAATAATAATAATAATAATTTAAAAGTTTTTTTACATTTGGAAAAAAAAAAAATTAATTTGTTATTTATTTGTATTTCATATTTATACTTCTTTTTTCTATTTATTAACTTATTTATTTATTTTTTTTTGCACATTTTTTTATTTATATTGCATAAAAAATTTAATAACTTTAATTATGTAATAATAATAATAATAAAAAATATAAATAAAAAAGTAATAATAATAAATTTATTAATTATTATTTTTAGTAATCTAATATTATTGATTTGAATTATTGGGTGAGTATTAAAAATTTAATTACCTTTTCTTGTTTTAATAACAATTAAAAAACAATAAACTAATTATAAAAAACCGTTAATGGTTTTATAATGGGTTTAAAAAATTTTATTTTTTTTTAACGGTTTGTCGACATTTTTCCCTTAAAAAATTGTTTTCAGTTTTTCGATAACAAACAATAATAATTGCTTTTGTTAATTGTACTATTTAATTATTGAGATAAAAAAAAAGATAATGATAATTTTAATAATAATTATTATTTTAAAATCGAGAAATTAAACAAAAAATTTTAAGTTTTCTCTTTGATAGCAACTACGTCATCATCATACGTCATTTTTTCGTCGCCATTTTTCAAATTTTTATTGGTATTCGGTCGGTTGTGAGTGTGAAGTTAAAATTTAACAGAAAATTAATTTAAATTAACGTTTTTATCTAAAGAAATTATCTTTTTCGATACAAATAATATTAATATTAATTTGTTAGTTTTATTTATATAAAAGTGAAAAAAAGTTTTATCTTAATTTTATCGTTTAGTGTCTTTTCTTTTTTGCAAGCAAATTTTTAACGTTTTTTCACAATGGAAAAAAATCAATTTTTTTTTCAGTTTGTTCAAAGTTTAAATTTATTTATTTATAAATGTGATTCAGTTGTTGAAGAAATTTATCTTAAAATTAGGATAATAAGCAAGTGAAATTTATTTACCGTAAGTATTAAAATTACCTTAAAAAAAAAAAAATTTTAAGAATCGACGGCGTTGCACCGTAACAAGTTTTTTTTTTTTTTTTTTTTTATTTAAACTTTATTTGAATTTGAAACATTTTGTGTTTTAATTATAAAATAATGAGTTTTCACATGGTTATAACTAAGAAAATAAGTTCTATTTAAAATAAATTAACATTTCTATTTTGGTTAAAAATCCACCGTAGGAAAATAAAAAATTGTTAAAAGATGGACCTCGTTAAGATTAATAAAAAATATTTTAGGTTTTTTAAAATTTTCATTTTTAAAAATACAATTTAGAAAATATATTTTTCACATAAACTAAACATGTGAGAAATTGTTTATCAAATGTTTATTTGTGAAACGTATATGTTTCCTCTCTAAATGTGGTTTAGTTGTATCAAGAAATCAGCTGTACGTTCCAGGGAACGGTTTTTTTTTTTTTTTTTGTTCCCTTCGCTGTCAAGTTTGTGTGTTTTTTTTTTTAATCAGTTTTTATTTTCGTTAATAATTTTTTTGTTTTGTGTTAATTATTATTAATTTTGTGATAAATTATTTTTATATTGTAAGTGAATAATAATAATAATGTGACTAAAACACGGTGAATGATAAAAAACGCCAACGTAAAAGAAAATGAAATAAGTATTTTTATTACTATTATTATTATTATGCGTATGTATATGTATATATTTTTAATATAAATATAAAATATAATGTTACGTGAAAGTTAATAATGGGAAGGTAACATAAAAGACTCCCATAATATGGTAATAAATGTTAAAATGGAAACGATATTAGATGAAGATTTTATTAATTTTGAATCAGTTTCACAATTGTGCACTTCGATTCCATTAATTTCAGGATCCGATGAAGAAATAAGTATTTTGGATGATGAAATTAATCAAAGGGAACAAATAATTCAAGGTCAAATTATTAAAGGTATTTTATCATGTTTTCTTTTTTTTTTTTTTGTTTGTTGTGATATGACATACCTTAAATGAAAAATTCTTCTCGTTCAGGTTTATATGCATGTATAGATTTAGATTTAAAAAATTTTAAAATAATTTTATGGTTGAAAAGCTTTTTGGTTGTTTGTTGTTGTAGATAACTACAAAACATCTGTGTTCATTTTTTTTTTTTTGTTTGTTACCCTTCACTTTCTGTTTTTAATGACTTGATATTATCATTATTAATTTTTTTTAAGGATGTTTTATTTATGGGTTTTTGTGTATTTTTTTTATTCCCAGCGAGAGAATTCCAGGATTTTAATTTAAAAAAAAAAAAAGAAAGAAAATTGTTTTTGAGTGAATGGAGATAATTCCAGTAGTATTCCAATTTCTAAATATCAACGTTCCATTTTTTTGGAAACTTTCTCTGATTTTTTTCATTTTAAATTTAAATTTATAATAATTATAGTAAAATGGAGTAGCAATTGTCTTTGTCAGAATTTGTCTTTTTTTTTGTTTCAACAAAATTGATGACATAAAAGTATGATTTCGCCATTTATATATTTATCCCTGAATTTTTTCTTCTATGCGTTCCGTAATCAACTTTTCTTTTTTTTTTTCTATGTTGTAAAAGACATGCCATAATATTAATAATAATAATAATAATACTGTTTTCTTTCTTTATTTTTTAAAGAAGGAATTATAGTATAATAAAAAAGAGTAATAAAATATTATTATTATCAATATATATAAAAGTGATTTGTTAAAAACGACAACTTTCTCTCTCTCTCTCTCCCTCCTTTTCTCTCTTTATATATAAAAATTTTATATTTTTTTTCTTTTTGCAAATTCATAAATTTACCCACGCACATATTAAATAAATAAATATATATAAATACATCATTTATTATAATTTTTATGGAAAACTAAATAAAATAAATGATTTCTAGACCGTATTTAAAAAAAAAAACATTCAAAAGAACCGTTTTATGGAAAGAAAAAGAGCGAGAGAGAGAGAGAGAGAGAGAGAGAGAGAAGGGAAAAGGACAAAAGCCAAACCTGGATTATTTGCATTAAATGCCATTTTAAAGAATTTTAATGTTTTGAACATAAAAAAAAGAAAAAAATTCAAATTTGTATTATAACACACGGTTTATCTAACAAATAAACTAATTATATATATATATATTTTTTTTAAAGAGAGAGAGAGAGAGAGAGAGAGAGAATCCACTTTTAGTTCACCGACCTTAAAGAGAGCCTGTGTTTACGGTATTCCAATTACTTTCAGTTTGATATGGAAGGCCTGTGATTGGCTTATTTATCTTTTACAAAGTCGTTTTTTTTGACAATTACATTTTCATTTTTATTTTTTTTTTGCAAAAGAAATCCCCCCTTCCCCCCATCATCATCATCATCCTCCACCTCCCGTTTCAATGTTTTTAATAATAATAATAATGATAATTTTTCCCGGAAAAATAATATTTCCAGAATATTCGCACACAGATTAAAAAAAATCAAATTATATATTTATAATAATAATAATAATAATAATAATAATAATAATAATAATAATAATAATAATAATAATAATAACAATAATAATAATAATAATAAATTCTATTATTTATTTATTATTCTTAATGTGTAGTAGTCGAATCGGAATTCTCCGATGATGATGATGATGATTTTCCAAGGGCAACACGGAAAACTGTAAAAATGGCGGGTGTGTATAAAAGTAGACAAGAGAAAACTTTATAATAAGAGTTTTTTTTTTTTTTTAAAAAAACATCATAATCTAGGAAATATCATTGGATGGTTACTTCCAATATGGCGAAAATTTTAATAATTTTACGAAGTGAAAGTTTTTTAATTTTTTTTTTTTAAAAACTTTCTAATTTAAAGAGGACAATAATAAAAAAAAGAAAAAATTGCCGTAAACGTTAAATTATTATTATTTTTTTTTTTTTAAATAAAAAAAAAAGAAAATTTTAATTACTGGAAAAATTAATAAAAATGCATATTAATTTTTAGTTATTATCATTATCATTATTATTATTATTAATTATTTAAAGTTGTAAATGCAAGTGATAAAAAAATGGGGGGGAGGGGTTTTCGTCGTTGCCATTTTTTTTTTTTTTTTTTTTAAATTTATTTATGAGTTTTCATAATAATAATAATAAACTTTCACCTTCTTTTTCCCCCTCCCTCCCCTTCTCTCCCTTCCCTTTCTCCCACCGAGTGAAAGTGTTATCATTTTTTACTGTTTATATTAACAAAAAATTTATTATTATTATTATTTATTTACATGTAAGGTATTCATTGGGGAAAAAAAATTATAATTTTATTTAATATGGCGATTTTTTTTTTGTTAACATAATAATAATATTTTTTATATTTTCAGGTATCGATAATGAAGAATGTAAAAAAAAAAAATTAAATAATAATAATAACGTCGTATTCGATTCAAATGGAATATTAAACGTTTCAAAACAACAAATAAATAATAATAATAATAATAATAATTTTATTACACCTTTGGGTTTTTCATCATTCACGTCATTTAATAATAATAATAATTTAAATAGTAAAAGACTTTACGTTCCTCCAACCGTCAGGTACAGGATAAAAGAAGAAAGGAGGAGGATAATTAAAATATCGAGTAATAAACTACGTAAAATCGAAGATCCGGAAACTTGGCTTTGTCGTAACGTACTAATTAACAACACAATGAAAAAATTATTGAAAGAAACTCGCGATGAAAAAATATGGAAACAACAATCAAACAAATCATCGTGTTCGAACGTTAATTTTTTACATAAGACTTTACTAAATGGAAATAATATTAAATTTCATAGAGGAATAATGAACGGAAATCGAGAAGGCGGTGAACAAGAAGAAAACTTTAACGATAATAATATCTATCAAGACATAAACGTATCCAACGTTTTTACGTTAAATTTAAATAATGATGATAATAATATTATTAATTATAACGATTCGAATGATGATTATTGTATTATACCTGTATCGAAAACTAATAATAATAATGATAATCCGTCGGTCGAAACGAGACATTTAATAAATGATGATAATGATAATTTAAATGACGTTGTTAGAACGGAAAGTGAAATAAAAAAAAATAGTTTTAATGAAATTTTACTACCGTCCGTTATTTATCGTGATAAATATTTATTACCACGTGAAAATTATTTATTTAAATCGAGTGATTTTATTTTATTAAATTTTTATTCATTTTTCAATTGTGTAAAGAAGATAAACTTTGGTTCGAATAACAATGACGTCATTTATGAATTTTTCAAACGCTTGTGTTCTTCTTCACTTTCGAATAGAAAATTCGTCATTTCGAAAAAATTCGAACGAAATCGTAGGTTAAACGATAGGAATAAAGAAAAAGGAAACAACGCATCGTCGTCGTCGTCATTTTTATACGGAAAAAAGCGTAAAAATGAAATCAATATCGAAATTTCCGGTAAAAATATCGAAAATAATAATAATAAAAAATGTCGAATAGATTTTTATTCGTGTGAAAATATAATCGCGAAAAGACGTAAATACGAAGAAAATGATATCGATTTAAATATCGACGAAACGGAAGATTTCGATATAAACGTTCGTTCGATGATTTCCTCCGATAGGTTTTTTACTTCCGGTCATGATGACGGTGGTGGTGGTGATACATTAGAAAACGAAATACATATCAATAATAATAATAAATTATTAATCGATTTAAAAGATGAAAAAAATATAAAATTTTTATTTTCAAATTCACTTTTTAACAACAATAATAACAACAATAATGTTAAACAATCGGGCACAAACATTTTTCAAAAAAAAAATTGTTGTTTGTACGAAGATTGTACGGATAATAATAATAAATTATCATGCGGTAGAGAAATAACATTATTTAGAAATATAAAATCTGTTACATTTAATAAAGTCATTGCCAGGTTGGAAACATAATCAATCGTGTTACACACATATTATTTTCATTCATTCCTTACAAAAACAAACAAACAAACGTGACACACACACACACGCGTTGTTTATAATGTCATCGATGACGTCATCATCAACAAATTTTTTATAACCTTTACCTTTTAATTAAATTTATATTAAATTTTTAAATAAATAAATAAAATTTTGTTAATGTAAATTGTATTTAAATTAAATTCCTTTACATAAAGAAAAGGTAACAAATATGGCGGAACAAAGTAGAAACTTTTTAAGACTTAAAATAAATCCATTTTGAATTTTTTTTTTTTTTTGTAACTTGATCTAATATTCTTTTATATTAAAACTTTGTCGTCACGTTGTTGTTGTTGTTAACAAAAATTTATTTCATTTTTTTTTTTGTTTGCATAGTCAAAAAAAGATTTTTATCTTTGCGGCACTCGAGGCAAACAACAACAACAACAACCGTTTAATGTTTCGGTTTAAACTTTCATATTTCGGTTATATTATTATATTTGTGAAGTTAAGGAAATAACGACAACAAATTTATTTATATTTAAAGGAAACCGCCATTAATGACGTCATTAAATTTGTAACGGTTAATTGGATGATGATGATGATGATTTAGGGTTTTTTTTTTAGCCAAAGTAAAATAAAAAATAAAATTGTTTTTCTGTTTTTCTGTTTTTTTTTTGATTTGTTAAACAATTATTTTTATTTTATATAAAAATATAATATTTTTTTGTATCAAAAAAAAAAAGAGAAGAAAATGGTTGTTTAATATATAAATTTGTAAATTACATCATACTACAACAAAGCATTTTTCCGCATCCGCATCCGCATCCCCCGCATTTTCCGCATCCTAAACCGCAACCACTCATCATTTTCCTATAATAATAATAATAATAATAATAATATATATTTAAATTTAAAATGAAGGAGGAAAAAAAAGAGAAGTAAAAACTCACTTTTGCAAAAGTTTCTGTTTCAAAAGAAGAAGTTTAGTCAATAAACAAGGTTTTGTCATACTTAAACAGCTAAAAAAAATTAAATTTTAATAAAAAATAATAAAAAAAAGGATAAAAAAAAATATAAAAAAATAATTTAAAATTTTAGTTACCAAGTTGATGGACAACCTAATCCCAAAGATGGCATCCTGGAATACCAAAAAAAAAAAAATTATTATTAATAATGACTGGAACGAGTAGGATATATATTAAAAAAAAATTTTTTGTTTTCTTACTTTGAAAGTGCTATTCCAGATGTAAGTCCATAACCCTATAAAATAAAAATTTTTAATTTATTAATTTTTTTTTTTTTTTTTGTTTATAATAATTGACAGAATTTATTTATTTATAAAAAAGAAACTTACTGGTGGTGTACAACCGCATCCATATTGTCCATAAAGTCCATAACCTAAAAAATTATTTATTTTTTTTTTTAATTAAAACTAAAATTTTTTCTTTTTAAACAAAAAAAAATTTATTGTTAACTTACCTGAACAATTATCTATCTGAAATTATAAAAAAATAAAAATTTAAATTAAAAGTACTTTTAATAACTTATTAATAAATAAATAAATAAATAAAACAAATCTTACCAATAAAATAATACTTAAAACAATAGTTATTATTATTATTTGATTTTTCATTTTATTTTTTTTTATTGTTAATCACCTTTCACAAATAAAATAAAATTAAATTGTAAATTTAAAATAATGATGATGGCATATATATATATAAGTTTAGTTTTTTTAAAGGCTGATAAAATTAACTTTGCTTTCTCTCATGGTCAATGTTAATTTTTATGTTTGATTCAAACACCGAATTAATAAAACACAAACACAATTATGTTTATTAAAACGTTCATGGTGACAATTTTTCTCTAGTTTATTTTACTCTCTCTCAACATATATATATTAACATCTATCATGATGATGATGAAGGAATTGCATTAAAACAGAAAACCTACAGAATATTATTATTATTATTATGGATTTGACATTTTCATGTTTTACTTATACCTATCTACCTACATAATGATCCTTTTCTTAAAATGTTTTTTATTTTAAATGTGAAAAAAAAAAAAATTTCTTTTTAAAAACATGAAAATTTGATGAATGGGGGTGGGGATGGGGATGGGAGGGAAAGGGGAGTGGGGGTAGAGGGAGTAATGACAATTATAAAAATCCCATGTTTTTATTATTAAAAAAAATATTATCTCTTGTTTCATTGAACAACAAAACTAAAATTATTTATTTATTTATTTATTTATTTTTTTTTTTTATTGTTGTCAGGCCTGTAAGAATTCATCCAAGGTGGTTTTTTTTTTTTTTAACATAATTAATTTGCCTAAAATTTAAAAAAAAAAAATGTTTTGAAGGTTGTTTTAATGTTTTTTGTTCATTTTCACACACACACACACGGTTCAATAACATAATTGCGAAAAAAATTTTTTATTTTTTTGTTTTCGAATGAATTAATAATAATTTTTTATCATTTGAATGTTAAAAAAAAAAAAATTTACTTGGTACCAACTTAATAAAATGTTGGTAATGAATTATTATTATTATTATTAATAAATGAATTTTAATTATTTGTTGTATAAAAACAAAATTTTTGAAAGACAAAAATGATAATCATGATAGTTGTATGTAAAAAAAAAGGGAAATTCTGTAAAAAAAATAATTTTTTTTCAGTTTTTCTTAATTTTCTTTTGCTCAAAAACAATAATAATAATAATAATTATTAGTATAATTAAAATGAATCAAATTGCATTGAATTTAAACAAAGATCCAGACATTATATCTTTTGTTTTATATTTTTAGCATTTAAAATCCTGTAAAATGTCTGGATGCTGCATCTGAATAAAATTTTTCCCTTACACCACCCATTCTCTCATAATTTAGACTTTGCTTAATTTTTTTTTTTAAGAATTATTATTATTATTAATATTAATATCAGATAAGTTTCTACTTAATTTTGAGTGTTTCCATCCATCAAGTTTCTCCCTCTCCAAGTTTTCATACCCAATCCTTCAGTGTTGCTTCTTTTTCTTCTAGACTTTTTTATTTGTGTACATAATGTTATCATTTTAAATTTTCCAACAGGTTTTTCTAACGACATGACATCTCCTTTTATTTCTCTTATTCTAGAAAATTCACGTGTTTGTAGTTTATTCGTTTTGATTTGAAAACCTTTCTGAAGAAAATCAACCCCTTTTCATAACTAATCTTTCAGGTTTTTCCCCTTCGGGCGCGTTTTTACTTATCATCATTATCATCATTTTAATAATTTAAACTAATTTGTAAAAAATAAAATCTGGAAAAAGGTTGGTCATGATAAAAACACAGAATAATTTAAAGGCATTTTATTTTGTCATTCATTTTTATATTAAAATGTTTTTGTCCAGGTGTGAGTGTTATCAACAAATAGTTTGATTGGTTATCATATAATTATTGATAAAAATTTAATATTGATTATGGCAAGTCTTGAGGATTTTTTTTTTTTTTATTTACTATATTGAGAAAAAGTAAAATAGATGGGGGAAAAACAAAATTAATATAAACAAAAAAATTTAATTTTTTAAACAAATTATTTTTTATTATAAAAAAAAGTATAAAAAAAGAGAAACAATAATTTTTTTTAATACATCAAAAATAGTAAAAATAATTATAAAAATATAAATATGTATTACAATTATAATAACTATTTACAAAAATGCATGAAAAAAAAAAAAATATACATAACAAGTAAAAAACAAAACAATAAAAGTAAATAATTAAATAAAAAAATAAATTTTTTAATTGAAAATATTTATTAAATTGATCCTGGAAACTGATGATAAATTCCATGTGGACAATGTGGATTTAAAGCAGAAAACATATTTGAACCTTGGACTACTTTTAATGCGTTGTATGCTCCATGTGGATCTGTAAAAGAAAGAAAAATTAGTTTTAGGACTTGAAATGAGAGCAGAAGAAGGTATAGAACCATGAAAGGTTTATAAATACAACATACCATAAGAGCATTGATAAGGAACAGCCGACATTATTGGTTGTTGTCGTTCGCAACATGGGTTTTGTGTGTTACAACCAACAGAATTTAAACTTTTTAAATGTCGAGCTAATAATTTACTTGCTGCCAATTTGTATTTTGCTTCCAACAACTATTATTTTACAAAAAAAATAAAATTATTAATTTATTTAAAATAGTAAAAATATCAATAATTATAAATAAAAAAAAACTTACCGGATTTTTATGAGTACACAATTTTGAAAGAAATTTTTTTGGATATTTTGATTTCAAAGCCTGAAAAACCAAAAAAAAAAAGGATTAATAAATTAAGGATTCCAGTTTGAATCAAAAAAAAAAAAAAAAATGATTGATAAATAATTATTACCAAATATGGATCGAGTATATTTTGAGGGGTACAATTTTCACTTCCTAAAAACGATGTTAAATATTGAGTTTGAACCATTGAAAAAACAGTTAAAAAACAAACGATTGTACAAATAAAACTTTTCATATTGATAGAGTTTGTGATAACACGATACAAGAATACAACAAACAATGATAAAAATTTATTAATAAATTTAACTTTTATAATCGCGTGCAATGTATATTGTTTACAATAATATTCACGGTTATTATTGAGATTATTTATTGAAGGTAAGGTAAGGTCATTGTCAGCACAAAATAACGAGGTAAAATTTAAAAAAAAAACAAAAAAAAAAAAAAAAAAGCTACATCAACAACCAAGTTTTGTAACGTAAAAAGAAAATCTATATTTATATATATATATATAAACTTTTTTTTTTTAAGTCGTTGCCTTCGCGGCCTATGACTAATGAATAATATGTTTTTGTTTGTTTGTTTGTTTGTTTTGTTGCCCTTTATAAAAAGGTAACGTAAATAAATAACTTTAAGGTGTTTGTTGTTTTGAAAGGTTCATAGATGCGGTGCAACGATCCCACCACTTACAACATTCAATTTTAAATAATAATAATAATATTTATTAATTTGTATTTTAATAAATTTTTGTTTTTTTTTTTTTTAGGAAATTTCAACAGGGGTTTTATTTATTTATTTATTTAATTATTAATATTTACATAAATGTATGTTTTTTTCATGCGTAATTTTCTACGTATTGTCTGCTTAATTACAATAAATATATATATTTAGAGTAATTAGTATTATATATTTAGCTTATGAGAAATTGATTCTTATTAAAGGAGAAAAGAAGAAAGCTGTGTTTTATTATTTATTAACAATTTTTTTTTAAACAAAATAAACATTTTTTTTATTAACGTCAGATGACGGATAGACACACACAAACACACACACACACACACACACATTTCAACGTTTTTTTTTTTTTTTGACTGTTATTGTCGCCTTAATTATTTATATAAAATAATTTATCCCACCCGTTTCGAATTTTTTTAACTTCCTCTCCAAACAAATTTTAAGAAAAAAATTCCTGCAATTTTTTATATATTCATTTTTAAAATGAAAAACTTTTCATTTTCATCAAATTAATTTTCAAAACAAAAACTTTGTCGCGCCATTTAACAATGGCCGTGCGCGCGCGAGCGAGAGAGCGCGTTCAGAAAACAAAAAATAAACAAATGCAGACAGGTTTGAGTTTTGAAATTTTCAATAGTGACGTAATCGACAAACGTGTGAGTGATCGCTCAGATTTTGATTAAACCTGCTCTGGATTTTTATCTTTTTTTTTTTTTTTTTGTGTGAAAATTTTTAAAATTTTAAAACGAATTTTGTGTGATTGAAAAATAAATAAACAAAAATGGTAAGTTTGTTTTTTTTTTCAATTAAGATAAAATTAAACGACATTTCAACGATAATCCACATAGTTTAATTTAATTTATATTTTTTGTGAATAGTTTTTATCTTTAATTAATTAGGTTAAGTAATCTATTAATATTATTATTATTACTGGAATATTTACTGGAATTTTTTTTTTGAAACATAGAAGCAGTGAAAAACGCGATATGTTTAATTTTCCCTTATAAATGAAATTTAAAAAAAAAAAAAAAAACTTTTTGAGTAGCATCCATTTACATTGTAAACTTCTCTTTATTTTAATTACCTGGATTAATTAATGTTTACAAATTTAAAAGGTAAATTTTTTTTTTTTTTTTTTTCATATTTTAAATTTTAGAACGTAACGGACGTGCCTGTTACACGTTCGGCATTGGGAAGAGTCGGATTTCTAGGAGAATTATACGATATGAGAACCGAAAATTTTTCATCTAGATCCGTTTTCAAAAATAAAATTTCTCCAGAGTTGGTTAAAACCGTGGCCGTAGACAATGTCGTTGTGGAATATAAATTTACGGAAAATATATCGGATCGTTTTGATTTATTAAACGTCGAATCTGATTTGCAATTGTTTTTCCTTTGCGGTTTGTTAGAAATCGAAGGATGTGGGAAATTTTTAAACACGGAAAAAAATTCATCTAAAAATATAACATGTTCATTTATGTGTAAATTTCAAACGGTTTGCGAAAAATTATTCACGTCGTTTGTCGAAGTTTTACATTTATTAGATTTTGATGCTTTGGATGATTGTCAATATACTCACGTTATAACAGAAATCAATTGGGGAGCAAATTGTTTGATGAATTTAGAACTTTCTTCCTCGGCGAAAGATAATAAAAAAGAAGCAGAAGGCAAGCTCATGTTGGAAATGAAAAAACTCGCTAAACTAATTAAATTCGAAGGTGAAGGAGAAGCAGAAGTTAAAGACAATTCATTTTGGAAAAATAGCCAAATAAAAATTCAAATATCCGCGGATGTAACACCTAAAAATGAAATGCCTACTTCCGTTGAAAATTTTTATCATTTTCTATCGAACGTTCCGAACCTACTGAAAACCGTTAACGACGGAAAAGGAAAACCTTTATCGTATGCCATGATACCTGTACAAACGATAAGAAAATTGGCAAATTTACACACGACGGTGGAAAACGTAGTCAGAGAAATAGATGAAAGTTTTATCATATCCGTCGTTTGTCTTTTTGAAGAAATTTCCTCGTACAAGTTAAAACTCGAAGAATTAAATAAAAAAATAACGGAAAATGAAAAATATATACAAATGAAATACATAATGGAAAGTAAAGAAAAATTGGAAGAACTCAAAATAAAAGAATCGCAATTGAAAAGGATCATTTCGGAAAATTCTCTACTCGTTAAAACCGGTGAAAATAATTTAAAAGATTTAATTAAATCCGTTGAAAGATTTAAAAGTCACAATTTAAATTTTTATTTAATCGAACATTATTTAAATTCAAATTTAGTGTTAGAACGTAAAATTGAAACCGTACGAGATTACGTTTCCCGCGGGATTATTTATTTAGAAAAAGGAAAACTTTTCATTGATGAATTAAATAAAAATTTATCATGTGATTTTATTGTTTTGATCGTTTGTGATAAATTCCAAAATGAAAATCCGACTCTTTATCAATGCACTTTACATTATTTTTTAAGTTTACTCGATAATGATTCCACGTCGACAAAATACGCCATTGTTGATTTGGATTTGGATTTAGATTTAAATAATAATAATAATGCGAACGGGAATAGAGTTTTCCTATCGAAAATGGGTATATCAACGGTGAGATGTTTATTTTTTAAAAGAGGTAAACTCATCAACGATGACATGTACGGGGATTACGCCGAAGAACAAAATACAAATTTTGCAAGAATACATTCGGATCACGTATTGGAATTCACCCATGAAAAACCCGGAAATAGAGTCATTCTTAAAATTACTTGTCCCGGTTTTCCATCGGGAATTTGTTCGTCGTCGGAAAAAATCCAATGGAAATGTTTTCGTTGTAAGAAAGTTCTCGAATACGGTTTCGATGAGTATTTTTATTGCAGTTGCGGAAGAGGAAAAAGAAATTATTATGAATTTCGTTGTAACGATCACGCCCACGGAGTTGCGTTTGTTTTTGATCGTTACGAATTTGTAGCCAACGAATTATCGGAATTGAGACCCTCAAACGAATTAAACATTCTCATCATCGGTCAATCTGGAGTCGGTAAATCCACTTGGATAAACAGCATCGTAAACTATTTGAATCACGAATCTTTCGAACAAGCCATGAGAAACGAAGTCATTTCCACGATACCCATAAATTTCACGACGTACGATCCGAAAACGGGAGAAAAACACACGATTAAATTGGGAGATTGTTCTGCTAACGAAGTGACGGAAACGGGAGAATCTGGAACTCAATTTTGTTCTACGTATTGTTTTTTTTGGAAAAATAAATACGTTCGACTCATAGATACTCCCGGTATAGGAGACACGAGGGGAATAGCGAAAGACAAAGAAAACATAAAAAACATAATGAGTCACATAAGTAATTTAAAAGAACTTCACGGGATTTGCATATTGATGAAAGCCAACGATTCGAGGATCAGTGCCATTTTTTCATATTGTCTAAAAGAATTATTGATTCACATGCACAAAGGTATCGCGAAAAACATCGTTTTTTGTTTTACAAATGCAAGAAATTCATTTTACACTCCGGGTCAAACATCCGTACTTTTGGAAAAACAATTGGAATCGTTGAACATACATAAAGAGCTTTCCCTGGGGTATCACAACAGATTTTGTTTGGATAACGAAGCTTTTTTATTCTTGTGCACTTTGAAAGAATCAAAAATCGAATTCGACTCCCTCATGATAAAATCCTTCGGTCAAAGTTGGGACATATCATTTAAAGAAACCGTTAGACTATTGGAAACCGTGTCTTCGTTCAAACCTCATCCGTTGAAAAAAACATTGTCACTTTTCACTGCTCGAAATAGAATTTTATCGTTGAGCAAACCCATCGCTGAAATAAGTAAAACGATACAAATGAATCTGACGGCAATAACAAAAAGAAAAGAAGAACTCGCTCTGTGCGAGAAAACAATGAGCGAACTCTCGGAAAAATTATACGTTAACGAAATACATTTAGAACCTGTACCGTTGGATTTACCCCGAACGGTTTGCACGAGTTCCCAATGCGTTCGGTATCACCATATTGAAAGTTACGACATGACGGAAATAGAATACGTGACGCATTGTCACACAAAATGCTACATAAAAAACGTCGTGACAAAAGCCATAAATAATATGCTTTTAAAAGATTGTTCGGCCATGAAAAAAGGGATTTGCACGGTTTGCGGATGCGGTTGGCAAAATCACATGCACATATCATTCGATCAGAAAAGGGTTAATAAAACTAATCCGAATAAGAGAATTCAGGATGCTTTGGAAAGAGAGAAATCGGATCAAGGGAGAAAACAAGAGATGTTGATGGAACTAGAATCGAAACTTGATAAATACAAAAAAGAACAAGAAATAGTAATACAAACATCCGTGAAACTCGGTTTATTTTTAAAAGAAAATGCCATAAGCGTGTACAACGACGCCATAGCAGATTATTTAAGGTATTTGATAGACGGAGAAGAAAACAAACCGTACAAAACGGAAAGCGATGAAAAACTATTGAAAAATTTAAAAGAAACATTGAGTCACTACGAAGCGGAAATACAAGTTTTACAACAGGCTGTGTGTCAAAGCGGTCAAACGACAGTCGTGCCAACCATTGAAGAAATTGTACAACTCGAAAATAAATTGTACGAATTGGAATTGACGGGGGAAGATATAAAAAAAAACGTTCAAGTCAACAGGTATTCGTCTACGTCAAGTTATTCATATTCTGAAATATTTTTACAGACTCCGAAAGTTCTAGAAAAAAATAGGGTGAAAGGGAAAAAAAAATCGTGGTTGGGTTTTGGATTTTTTTAAAATGTTTTTTGTCGTGTTGTGTGTTTTGAGAGTGTTTGTTTGTTTTGTTTTATTTTTTTATGTTTTTTTTTAATTGTTGAATTTTTTTATTTATTTATAAACAATTTTTTTCCTTCTCTTATCAATTTCTGGAATTTTCTCTCCAGACAAACAAAATTAAATGATTTTCATTCGCGTTTGATTGTATGAAGGAGAAAAAAAAAAAAGAGGAAAATTTTTATTATAGAACGTTAAAAATTATTATTATTATTACGTATAAAAAACAATAAATTAGTAAATAAATAAATAAATTAATATAATTTTTTATCATTAAAATCTTCTTTTTTTTGCGCCGTTTGAATCCGTCGTGGCAAAAGAAAAATAAAAAAAATTTATTTTATTAAAGGTGGTTGTTGTTGTTGTTGTTGAAAACGTTGACGTTTATTTCTTTATTTTCGTTTGGATCTCTTGGTGATAATAATTTTTTCCTTATCATTTCGGCTTCTTTTTCTTTCGCCCATTTTAATTCGGATTCTGATGACACGTGCATTGTTTTCACGATTCCTCTCATCAAATCGAAAAAACCATTTTGACTAGGAACAATGAGCTCGCGAAATTCATCAAATATTTCTTCTGATGTTTTTCCTTAAACGTACAATAAGAAAGTCAGAGACTGTCCGAGTGACACGACAATTACAAAAAAAAAAATTCATTCTAATTCCACGTTTTTTTTTTTTTTTTTTTTTTTGGTTTCTCACCTTTAAGCGGAGGAGATCCTAATATTTCAAAAGGACATTTTAATAATTGCTCTTGTTTTTCTTTTTCCATTCTGAGCATTTGTTTTCTTTCTTCGCAAAGGTTACAACTTCCTTTTCCGTTATTTTCAAGTTTCAAAATGGCGAACGGATTAATTAAATCGTTAAAACTATGTAAATTTTCTTGATATTTTTGACAATTGCATTTTTTTTAGTTACGGCCGCCTGTAAATTTTTTTTTTAGCATACAAAATAATGATAATAATAATTTTCATTTTTAAATCACGTGATCTTTTTGCTACTCAACATAATTGAAAATAAGCAAAAAACAAATGAAAATAAGTGAATTTTTTTTTTTCCAGAACCGTGAAAAAAAAAAAAATTAAATAAAAATCAACAATATTCCAGTAAATTATAAATAATAATAATAATAATAATAAATACCTGAATCGGTTCTAAAATGGCGAAATAAAAAATAAAAAAAATAACCGTAGTTGTAATAAATAATAATTTCATTGTTCTTGTGCAGTAGGAGGATTTATACTGAACAATAAATATTATTAACATTAATCCGTTATGCCTTTTTTTTTTCATTATTATTATTATTATTAACATTTATTTATTTATTTTCTTTTAAATAGAACCTCGATATTAATCCAAAACAAAAAAAAAATTGTTTTATTTTACGTAATGGCGAAAAATTTTACGTACGCGTTTAACGGTAAAAATAAAAATAAATAAATAAAATTTTAATATTAATATATTTTATTTTTTTTATTAATTAATTAATTAACTAATAAATTTTTTGCCTTTTTTTTTTTTTATATATACAAAAATGTTGTGTGTATGTTTGATTTATTATTATTAATAACAATTCAAACGAATTATTATTATTAGGGGACGAATTTTTAATATTATTATTATCATCATCAGATTTCCTTGAGAAAAAAGAAAATTTCTCATCTTTAACATAAATTATATAAAGATAAATATAAAAAAAAAAATGACAATTTTTTTTTTTTTGTTTTGTTCGTCCTCAATTCGTTTGTTTTACACAAAAGTGTTGACGTACGTGTTGATAAACAAATTCATCATTTTATTATTAATTAAAAACGATGATAATATTGATTAACGTTGTTTCTTAATTCATCTTGAATTTCTCTTCTGCTTAATACTTTATCACATTTAGCTGCCCAATTTTTAAGTTCTTCTATTATTTCGTCTGTTAATTCGAGTTCTAAAGCGAGAGGTAAAGAATTTCCTTTCGATACTTGCTTTAATGTGTCTTTTAACATGTCACATTTTTTTTTATGTTCCGGATCCCCACAGTCCAAACATGCCTCGGGTTGATTTGATACGGACACGGATTTCAAGGGTATCGGTATGTATAGGGATCGAGTATCACCGTTTGGATTTTCTTTTAATGGCGAAGGATCTTCCATTAGATTAAGGGGATCTTTACCGAGTGGAGTCGTTATTTGTTCGACGTTTGGCGCATCGGTTTCCTGTCTTTCTTCTGGCGGTGCCGGAACTTTACAAACTTTTGTTAATCCTTTGAAAAAATACCAATTTTTCTTTGTTTTTCTTGCAGTTACGGATATGAGATTTCCTTTTGCATCTAATACGTAGTAGTCCGACCTTAGAGTATTTACGTTTCTTGTATCCTCTAAAAGGTCACCATTCGGTTCTAGCATGAGATTAACCACGTTGCTATTCGGATCTTGATATTGAATTTGATGTAGAGAACCATCAGATTTAACATCAAATGATCCCATTGTGTATTTTAAATAAGATGGCACCAATTCAGGTGGATACCTTTTTAATAATTTATTTTGTTTTTCGTAAAACACGAAATCTCCATTTTTGTTTACAAATAATTTTATGTCTCTATCTGTTGAAATATTTTGTTTATCACTCAAAAGTAGATCGCAGGATCCTTTTTTACTTTTTTTTTTATTATCCAATAATTGTTCGTCTAATCTATCCAAACAACTCCTGCAATAAACCCTTTCTTTGTACACTATCACATCTCGGAAAGTGTAACATATCGAATTATCGATTATTTCTAATTTAATGGGTAGTAAGATGCCTTTTTCGCAAAGTACGTATTTTAGAGAGCTTGCAAGAGGTGCTTCGATTTTTCCATCCGGATAAAGATACGGAAACAAGTCGCCATTTTTGGACATCATGTACACGTAACCGTTCGTTTCGTTTGACGGTAACAGTATTCCCTCTTTGAGCAAAACGTAAGATTTTAAAATGATGCATTTCTTTTTGTCTTTCGGACTCCTGTACAATATACCGTTGCAATCCAATTCGTAAATGACTGTCGCACCGTGCCTGTTCTTGTAAGGTACTATTTTAATCAATTCTCCTTTCGGACCGGTCAAATACATTGATTTTTGAAGGGATTCCGTAGGTTCATTAGGTTTAAGATGTTTCCAATTGGATCCGCTTCGTGGACTCAATCTAGGTTTCGAACTCATCGAGATTATTGTCAAACCGTTAAAAAATGCAAAAATAGGAGAACCTTTTGTGCTGAAATGAAGAGGTTTCTCAACGGAATCCTTCATTTTTAACAAAAAGAAATCCTGATAAAAGAAACTCACGTTTCCCTCTGGATCGACAACTTGCTGTACGGGAAATAAAATGTTATTTTTACCCAGCATGTAGTAAATAAGAGAACCTGGAGCTTTTCTAAAAGTATTTAAATTTTCTTCGGAAGGAATCAAATCTCCATTTTCTTGCAAAATGTAAGTCATGTGAAAGGATTTGCCGGTCGTCACAGTGGGCACCAACACGAATTCGTCCAACAAAAGTTGAAAGTTAATTTCAAAACCAAATTCCGGTTCTTTGCACGGGGGATACCTTACGAGGTTGCCCTTGCAAGTCAGCTTGTAGATTATTACGTCATTTTTATCGGTTATTTCGGGTATCAATCGTATTCTGGTACCTTTTTCGTCAAATATAAATATGTCCGTTCTTGCTCTTAAAACAGGTTCTTCTCTGATCGCAGGAGACGTCGAATCAGTCGGGGCGGCTACTTCTTCGACGTGTCTTTCGACGGTTTCATTAGGATCAGAATAAACGGGCAAAGGTGGATTCGATTTTACTGGATTATCGTAATAAGCAGGCGTCACTTTGGTAGGTCTCTGATAATTTTCCACAGATTCCGAATATTTTGCATCGTGGATTTGACTGCCGCCGCCGCCGCCGCCGCCGTGCATGTAGTTTTCTTGAACTGCTCCAGCGGTTTGCCTCACCGGATACAGGGCTGAATTTCTCGTCGGAACAACTTGATATTCTGGTATGCGACTTTGAGGGACTATTGGCCTCATGGATTGAGATTCCATCTGTGAGGGAGAATAATTACTCACAGCCTTCTCGTAACCGCTATTATAGTAAGCTTCTCTTTTTCTCAAATGATGTTTTTTTTTTTTTTTCGTTTTCGTCGGTTGTTCCCGCGTTTTTTTCGTTAATGAATTCGATTCGTTGTCTTTGACATCCTCATCATTTTCACCCATGAACAATTTAAATTTTTTATCGTTTATCAATATGGCGGTAGAATTTGAGTGTATTTCGGAAAATTGACAACTTTTATGAATCAAACGTCCGTTGAAATAATAATTTATGTATTTATCATTTTTCTCTTCTAAAACGGGAAACAATCCGCCATTTTTAGACAGCATGAAAGACACGGATTGACCGACTTCAGCCGTGATTTTTTGACGGTTCGAAGAATAAGGTATGAGATCCCCATTTTCACCGGTCAAATAAGTGACAGAAGATTCGGTTTTTTTCGAAAAATCCGGTTGAAAAGTAAATTTATTAGTTAAATAAAACGTGTGATGTAATCCCGATGGCAAATAAGGATCGGATTTAATTCTTTTTAAAACTCCATTGTTATTTAAAAGAAAAAGTGTTATTTCTCCGTTGCAAGTTTTGTCCGGGGAATCAATAATGTCGTTGTCGTTGTCGTTGTCGTTGTTGTTGTCGACGTCATCGTCCTCGTCGTCGTTTTTGTTTGTTAAAGTAGAAAATTCTTTTTCATATTTTTGAAGAATGGTATCAAAATCATCGGATGATTTTTTTCTCGGGTTAAATGTCGAATCACATTTTTCTCCATCCGAATCCAAATCGAAAAAATTCAAATTGTTTTTTTCGATATTTTCATTTTCTTTCGTTTTTTTCTCGCATAAAATATCGGCGTTGTTTGTGACGTCGTCAGTTTTTGGTTCGTCGTAATAAATTTCCTTTTGAGAATCATCATTGAATTCCTTGGTTTTGGCATGTAAAATATCAGCAGGTATCAAAATATTTTTAAAACTTTTTACGTAATAAATGTGTTTTAAACTCCGATAAACATTTTCGTTGCACGTTTTACCATTTAAAATATTATTTAAATCATCATTTTTTTTCAACGGTACCAAAATTCCACTTTTTAAAACCGTGTAATTCAATAGTTTTTCTTCTGCATAAGATGGCGTAGAAGATTTAACATCTATTAAATTGTTTTTATCATCATTTGAAACGATAACGGTGATGATGTCGAGTGATTTTAATTTAGGGCCCACAAATATATTTTTAGTATCCGTAGGGTAAAAATAAATTTTTTCTCCAGGAGGTACCCTTATGTAATTATTTTCGAGAGAACCGTGATTGATGGATTCGTTTTCTATTTCACCATCCTCGAAATCGACATCGACTGTGTCGTTGAAAAATTTTGGACAAGATGATAAAACTGCAGCTTCCTATGGAAAAGATACCAAAAAAAAAAAAAAATTTATACATATACGTTTTTTATCTATTTACAAATTGAGCAATATTTACACAACATTTAAATTCACATTTTTTTTCCTGTTATTTATATTAATAAATTTTTGTTTTTATATTTATTTATAAATCGATTGATAAATTATTAATCTCATTTAAAAAAAATAAATGATAAATCTCACACGTAAATATTTTTACATAATATGATAAATATTAGGTTTTTCATTGTCTTTTTTTTTTTTTATTAACAATTTATGATAAAATAAGAAAAATCTTAACTTTTTTTTTTTTTTTAACGTATCTACTTTACCTTAAATTCCAAAACAAAAGTTTAAAAAAAAAAAAAAAAAAAAAAACAAAAAATTAAAAATCAAACTTTAAACGCATAAAATTCGTTGTTGTGTGCGTGGGTGTCCGAGTGCTTTAAGCTTAAAAAAAAAAAAGGAAAAAAAACAAAAAACAAAACTTACATGACTGTTTTTAATGAAAATTCCACATATGAGAAAAACTGTTATTATCATTTTACGGGAATTAATAATCATTTAATGAAAATTAAGAAGAAGAAAAAAAAAGAGTATTTATTATTATTATTATTATTATTATTTTACACAAAACGCCGAACGTGAACCATTCTCAAAACTTAATTAAAATGGAAAATGATTTGGTTATTGTATAAATACCTAAACAGAGTCATACCTCGAAGGATAATTAAATAAAGACATCTTTATTTTGGTCCAAAAATCACGTCCTTAATAGTTCTGCAATTTTTATTTACATGAATTGTTTGGTGTCACACAGGACGTTTGACTTCTCCCAAGGTTATTTTAGCCTTTCATTTTCTCAAATCAACTAGAAACACGATAGCTTTCTACAACAAAAAAATGTATCACTAATCTTTTCTTTTATTTTCTTTTTTTTTTTTTTTTTTTGGAGGAACCTCGATCGATTGTGATTGTGTACGATCATTTAATAATTAATATAAAATAAAACGTATATTATTATTAATTAGTATTAATTTAGTCATTGAGTTGTAATTTTCGTTTTAAAAAAAAAATAACAGAAAATTTAGGCTTCAAAACGTATTTGACCTTTCTTAAAAAAAAAAAAATTTTTGTTTAGTACAAAATAATTTATATTTCGAGTAAATAATTATTTAAACAAAATAATTATATTAAAAATAATAATTCAAGTTCAATATAAAAAAAAAAAACTCGAATATTATTATTAATCGACCGAGTTTTGTTACAGTTTAACTCATAGAAAATCTGTTGGTTAAACACGACTGATGATGATTCACAACATAAAATGTTACATAAATGACTTCGACATTTTGTTTTTTTTTTAACTAAAAAAGGGTAAAAAAAAGATTATTAAATGTTAAAATAATAGGAAGCAGTTAAAGATATTTTTTTTTTTTAAGTGAAACGTGATTATAATTATTTGTTACGGTAGATAAAAAAAAAACTGATTTTAGACAAAATGTTAAAGAAAAGAATAATAATAATAAAATATTTCTTTTTTTTCCCTGTCAAACACCAAACGTTTGTCTCCACATATTGTAATAATAACTATTCACGTTTTAAAAATAAATATAAAATTGGATTTTTAATTGTTTTGTTTAATTTAAATTTACAAATAAATGTTTGACTGTTAAAAAAAAACGAAAACAATGTTCATTTGCAATTGTTTAAAATCGTCAACATTAAAAAAAAAAAATATTCGAATTACGTAATCGTAATTAATACGATTATAACTTTTTTTTTTTTTTTTTAAGGGTACATTCGATTTATGTTTATTTTATATACGTGATGACGTATATTGTCGCCATTGATAAGTGATAACAATCGACGTAATTTATATATAATAAAAAAAAAAAATTAATTGTAAATAACGTGGCGGTGAAACGTTTTTGTTTTTTTTATGATCAACAAAAAAAAAAAAAAAAAAACAATTATATAAGATTTATATTAAAAGGGTTTTTTTTTATTGTCCCACTTTTTAATATTATTAAATATTAATATTTAATAAACAGGCTATCACCATTAATTTAGGTTTAAGAAACATTTTTTTTTTTTTTTTATGTATTACAGACTTATAAAATTCCATAGCCTTGACAGACTTTCTTTTTAAAATATAGCTGAGTAAGTAAATAAAAATAAAAAGAAAAAATTTTTTTTAAATTTGTTATGGTTAAAATTATGATTTTTTTTTTTTAAATAAGATGTCATTTTATTACTTGTAATGAAAAACAAAAAAGAAAAAAAGTAATAAAATTGTAATAAAATAAAATATTAATTAATGCTTATTACTTTTCATGCCCATAATCCAAAAAAAAAAAAAATTTTTTTTTATTCACTTTCATTTCTTAAAAAAAAAAAAAAATTATTTTTTCATTAAAACTGTCAAAATATTTACTACTGACAATCATTTGTTGTTAACAATTTGATTATTAAACAATTTTTTTTTTGTACAATAAAAATTTAAATTACATAATAATTTTTTTTTGTCTTTGGTTATTTGGGCATATTTTGTGTTTTTTGTTTTTTTTTTTTTAATAACTTAATCGAGACATTATTGTTAACGACCTATTTATTATTATGTTTATTTTATCGTTTCTTAATTCAACAATGAAATAAGTTTAATTTTAATTATTTAAAAAAAAATTAATTTTATTTTATTTTAAAAAATTGACTCATATATAATTTCACATTGTAAAAAAATTTTTTTAAATAGTCAATAATTATTAATTTTTTAATGCAAAAACCAACATCATAAACTTAACCAAATAATTTAAAATCAATAAATTTAATTAATAAAAAAAAAAAAATTTGATTAAATACACATATTTATTTATAATAGAGGAGGATATATATATATATATATATATGTCCATTCAATACTAAACTAAATAAATAAAATAATTAATTGCATTGAATTACAAAAAATTACAGTCAAACAAGTACAAGAGCTAAGATGAATTCATGTGTTAATTTATTATTTTTTATATTTATTGGATTATTGTTATTTCATCAGGTATCACATGTTATTTATTTTATAAAATCTCACACATATACATATATATGTGATTCAAATATTATTAACATAAAATTTAATTTGATAACTTTTTTTTTCTTTCTTTTTTTTTGGTTTAACAATATTTAATTATAATGAAAATAAAATGATTAACAATTAAAAGATGTTGGTAATGATAGAAATAAAATATTTTTAAGTTAATTTTAAAGGAGAAATTGTGAAAAATTATACTTTTTTTATGGATAAATTTATTAATTAAAATGGCTAATTATTCTTATTTAATGTAACTACTAACTGTTTAAAGTAATATTTTTTTACAGACTTTAATCAAGTTAAAAATATTATTTAAAAGTTGTCCTATGTAAGTATGAATGCTACAAATAACCATTTTTCTTTTTTGTCAAACAAAAACTAAAAAAATGTTTCAAATTTAACTTAAACCGGTTTAATATTTGCCTCAGACCTAAAAATTTTTTATTTTACTTATAAATTGGTCTCTGATTAATGTTTTATCAAGGTAACACAATGGCGACAAAATAAACTATAATAAATAGATGGTAAATATTGCGGAAAAACATAAATTACGCATTTTAATATGTGTAAAGGTAATTAATTATTACTAATTAAAAAAAAAAATAACATTATCATAAATATATCATTAACATACTTGTGAAAACTGGAACTCTTCTTTTCACAAAACATATATTACTTTTTCAGGTATTAAAATCGAATAATTTTAATTAACGCCGGTATTTGTCAAACCACTGAGTAAAAAATTTTACAAAACACTATGAAAATAAAAATAAATTCGTCTGGCTCAATTAAACGCTACATTTTTTTTTTTTATTATTATTATTTAAATACGTTTATATCAATTTTTCATTTTTAAAATGGCTCCCATTTTTTTCGTACCAACTGAAACCGCCAAATTACGTGACACGATAAAATTTATGTCGTGCATTCAGACAAGTAGTTTTAAAAGTGTTCGTCTGATTACTTCTTTGAAACGGTTTTCAGAATTTTTTATTTTTATTAAAATGATGAATATTATTTAATTTAAATTAATATAATAATATAATTTAATTTATAATATAATAATATAATATATAATTTAAATAATATAATTAATTAATTTAATTTTTATAATATTTTTTTAAAATCTAATAAGTTAAATACATTGTTTTAATATTTAAAAAACCTTTTTATTTTGTTTAACTCAGTTGTGAAAAAATTTTTTTGTTTTAAATAACAACATTTAAACTAGTTTTTTTTTTTTTTTTTTTTTTTTTTTCTGGGGTACTTATTTTTAGGGATTCCCTTTCAAAGAGAACCAAAATGTTCATCATAGAAAACTGCGGAGTTCAACACCACTTCAGTTGCCCACACTTTATAAGCTCAAACAATCTTCAGGTAATTTTTTTTTTTTTTTTTTTTTTTCTAAACCCCCTTAATATTTACAAGGTTTTTAAAAAAAATTTTTTTTTTTTTTTATGTTTTCCCCAAAACAAATTTATACAGCTTAAGGAAGTTAAAATTTTCAATTCTTTTACAACATTACAAAAAGTTAACTAAGGACAAACCGATTAGGTCCCTTTGCCCAGTTTAATTTTTTTGAGCATTATTTCTTTTTACAAAAACTTCTTTCTGGCATTAATTATTTAGGTTAATTTTTATAAATCAGATTTCAGCAGTGCCCAGTTTGAATAAAAAATTGAGCAAAATCCAAAGAAGAGATATTCCATTAGGAGACCCGTTTTTAGGATTTCCACAAAATATTGAGGTGAATAATGAGAACCAAGCAAAAAAAACAATTATTTATCCCCAACTTCCAACAGCATTACCTCCATTACCACCACCACCACCTCCACCACAGACCATTCCAAAATATACTCCTGTCAAACCTTTAGTCAAACCGAATGAAACGGAAGCTGAGAGAGCTGAAAGAATTCATAAATCTTTTGAAAGATTGCTGACGTTTGTTGAAATTGTCGGTCAGGTTGATAATTATGTCTCTAGCAAATGGAAAAATCTTGTTCGAACAGTGTCCAATTTTTATGAAGTTGAAGATGAACCTTATCGTGTTAGTGCAAGGAGAATTTATGGTACCTGTGGCAATGCTCACTAAATTTTTTTCTAAATATTTTTATATTATTTATTAATTTCTAAATTTATTTTTTATATATTTATTTATATTATTTAAATCTTTGTTTTCATGTAATATTTATTGTCAATTGTTAATAAAAAAACTACTAAAGTGGCCAATAAATAAAATTATGTGTTTTCGATGTTATATTTTAAATTCTATCAAGTTATCGTTACCATTGATACTTTTAATTTTAAGTGAAATTTTATGTAATCTTTGACGAATAATTTTGAAATAATTTGAAAAATATTTAATAAAAAATTAAATTGTGTCTTATAATTAATTGAGGGAAAAAATGAAAAACCCAAATTTATATCTCGAATGACAAAAATTTGATTGAGAACACTTTCTCGATGAACAATGATGAAAGTGCAAAAAATTTAAATTTATGCAAAAGATTCGAATAATTTGAATAATAAAATTTAATAAATAAGTAATATAATTTTATTATTGGTGCATCATCTGCACCTTATATAATTTCAAATATTAAAAAGTTTACACTTTTTTTTTATTAAACTATCACATCTAAAGGTTATAACAAATTTATAATATCTTTAAATGTAGTTAAGAAAGAGATTAAAACATTTATTTAATCTCTTGAATGTTATGCAAATATTATATATGTATGTAAGAATCAGAATGTTTATTTTCATTAATTTTTTTTTATATTTTTTAATGAAAAAAATTTCTAATTAATAAGACAAGTCGAGATATAAATTAATTTAAAAATATACAATATTAATAAACAATAACAATAATAATAATAATAAAGTTTTTCTTTTATTTTTAAGTTTTGCACGTATCGTGCAATGAAAAAAAAATGAATGTTGTCATTGTGCTCACGTATAAATTGTAAAAGAAATTTTTATTTTGTCTTCGTGGTTTTTTCTTTTCTTTTCTTTTTAAATTAATATCTATTTATATTTTTAAAAAAGTTGAACTTGAATTGTTTTCTTTTAATTAAAAATATTCTTGAATTGAATATTATCGATGTAAGACGTTGTATATTGATTGATTTTATTTAAAAAATCAATAATTTAGATAATGAAAAAAAGGGATTCGTTTGGAAAAGAAAAAAAAAATTATTATAGCAATGGGTTGAATCTATTTTTTTGGGTCGCAATCAATATAATTATTAGGCTTATATTTTTTTGTTAAAGAGTTGATGAGGGTCGTCAAACTCTATAGTAGCCCAAACTTGATTTGATGTCCCGTTTTAAAATCTTTGATGGTTTAAAGTTCATTATTAATACATGTTTTAATTTTATACCTTTTTATATATTTAAAGATATTATCTCATTTTAAAAAATTTATAAATTTCTATATATATATATATATATATATATATATATATATATATATATATATATATATATATATATATATATATATATTTACTATTAATTTAGATAAATATAATAATTAAATTAAAATTAAAAAAAAAAAGAACCCCAGGTATCGCATTGCATTTATTATTGAACGTTACAAAATTTTTTTTTTTATAAGAAATTTATTAAAAATTTATGTGTGTGGGACCCAGTGATATAGATAATAAATATTCGATGAAATTTAAAAAAAAATCTATGAATTACTGGATATACACTTAGCAATAAAAGCAAACAACCACGTCTATTATATTTGTGGATGTACCACATACCAAAGCCAATAACCAAGTTTGACGTATACCTTAAAGTCGAGGAGGGGAAAGAAGGAGTGCGACCTGGGGAGTGGTACTCAGTTGAGAGGCCACGTCGAGGCATTTACGTTTTCTTTTATTTTATTTTTAACAAAAAAAATTTATATTTAGTGTATTGTTATATTTAAATATTTTATTTTATTTGTGTACTAATTATTATTATTATTTTATTTTTTTCTTTCTATTTCTGGATACTCGTAATAATAATTATTTTTCAACAAGTGTGAAATTTTTTTTTTTTGTATTTAACCGTGGTATGTATATCAATAATATTATTATTATTATTATTTTCGAAGGAAAAAATGATTTATATAAACAAATAGAATAATTAAATATCGTGAAATTTGAGTTAATTCAATTAATTTATAATTAAATAAATAATTTGGGTTATTTTGAGTTGCCTTATTGTGAAAATTTGTTTAGAAACAAGCCTACTAATACCTAAGTTTAGACTTTCAAGATGGCTGGTTTTTTTTTTTTTTTTTTTTTTTTTTTTATTTCATGTAATTCAAATTCACAATATCCCTTGTTATTAATATTTTTTTTTTTTTTTTTGACTTTTTTTTTATTTCCCTTATAATTGTTTTACATAATTATTTAAATAATATTTATATTTATAAAATACTCTTAAACATATTGACATGATTGTTTAAATGTTGGGAAATGTCCTTGGACGTTAAAAAAAAAATGTGGCGTTGAATGATCTTAATAAAATTTACATTAAAATGGTGGTCGATAAATTAATAAAAAAAAAAAAAAATTCTGATCGAGAGTATACGAAATTTCATAATATTTATTATTATTATTATTGTTGTTGTTATTGTTACGATTATTTATTATGTAGGATAATAATATTCTCGATTAAATCGTATATAGTTAAAAAAATTTTAAAAATGAAAAACACATGATGAAAACAAACAACAATAATAATAATAATAATAATATTTACAGGTGTATTGTAAGACGACAAAATATTTACTTTAAATTGAGGTCATTTGACGTTTATTCCGTTGGAAGAGCCCTGGAAACAAGTAATTTTTAAGCCTCCTCGTTTGATTTAAACATAATAAATTCATTCAGTGTAAAATATTTTATTTTATTTTAAAACAATCAACTTTTTTTTTTTTTTTTATTTCTTTATATTAAAATTTATTTAATTTCAATTATTAAAATAAGAATTTGATTTGAGCTCATGATTATTTTACTTATGGATCATAATATTATAATAAAATGTCTGTTTTACACATGATTTTTTAAAACTTTCTATATTATCAATAATGTTTTCTAATTATCTACATTCTAATGAGTTTCATTATGATAAAAGACAATTTTTTTGATTTCAATTGTATGAGTCAAAATTCTGATATAAAAAGTTGAAAATTTTGATTTAAAGTGAATAAATTAGTCATATACAATGTTTCTCTAAAATTTTTAATTATGTTATGTACATAAAATGTTGTTTTAATCTTTTTGATTTCCAATAAATATAAACTGATTAATAATATTTTTCTTCTACAATTCACCATTATAATACTTTTAGTTTGATTTTGTTTGTTGTCTGTATACAAAATGATTGTATTAAAGTGATAATTATTTTTATTTACTTTAAAATAATAATCAGGTTCATAAATCCTAAAAAATTTGACAACCTGACCAGTGTAAGTTTGAGGAGGATATTACACACACAAAAAACTTATTAAGATGGTGGTTGACATTGTTTTATGAAATTAAAAAAAAATGACATATAATTTATAAAATGTTATTAACATAGATTAACAGATTGTAATCGGTTGTTAAACAAAAAAGAAAACAAAATGGTTGTA